TCGAACAAAGATGTTGATAAATAAAGAAAAAAACACCAAAGGATTCTTTATTTTCCATGATATATTGAGTCACATCACATGCATCATTGTACCAAATCGGATATTTATATTCGGGACCCAGACGATATTCGACAGAAATCCAAATACTCTTTGTGGCACTAAATCATCAACATAGTGTCTATTGAATAGACAAGAAAAGAGATGAAACAAAAATAATTTTCATACTCTGCAAGAAGATTAACAATAGTTTGATGCGTTCTTCGACTTCCATATATCCAAGCTAAATTCAAATAAAACTATCAATCAAAGTTAATCGTCAATCATGATCTAACCTCCACCATGAAAGTAAACTACTAATTTATCTTTGTTGGCATTCGCTGGAGTATGAACATTGATTGGTATATCTAGATATTTTTTTTTTCGATAAAAGTAAAACACATATTTTATTATGTCGAAATTTACCGGCAGAGTTTGTCATTACATGTTTCTCTTGCAGGTTACCATTGAATGTTCCAATAAGTTTTTCATTAGCTTTAGCACACAGATCTTCGAAAAATGTTCGCAACGACTCAGGTGTTACAGCATTCGATGATGATTGAAGTGATGTAATTAATTGAGCGAAGACCTTTGCTTCGTCGGTGAATCTTGGATCCCTAGAATAACAGAGAGAAATACGAACAAATAGTTTGATAATTTGAAAAAAAATGCATTTACATAGAAAAACTGTCCAGTGCGACCTTCTTTTCAAATGAAAGCCAACTTGTTACGATCTATAACAATATAAATTGTAGATAAGGAACGAAAATGTATACTGTTATGCTTTCCTTTCGTTAGAATAAATTTAAGGGCAAAAGTAAGGTCATTTCTAGGAGAAACATAACTTCTATTTAAAGAAAAAAAGATGATCTGATTAGTCGAGTGTATATCACATATATATATGTATCATCAGGTATAACAAGGAAAAAAGACAAACGATAGAAAGGAGAAAAACTAAATGACAATATAGATGTCGGATATAACACCCTTCCCAGATAAGGAAAAACGTTTTTTGGTTATAAAAACGCTTTTTTTTAACAGAAAAATATCAGCAAGAGAGAAAACCAAAAAAAGAGAGAAAAAAACCGAACGAACAATATATAATGAAAAAATATCTGACAATATCACATACAGAATAATAGAAAAAAAAACAAAAAGCAACAAAAAATAAATGCGGAAACCTCGGATTTAAATCTGAGAGTTATGTGTACTTCAAAAAGTGAATGAGACAGATAAGTCATCCTAGAATGTGTGGACATCAAAATTGTCCTGGCAAACCTTTTCTATAAACACTTGATTTCTATTGGCTACTGCTCAATCAATCGGATTTAGAGATTAATAGAGCTCAGATTTGAACTCTTCGCCTTGATTTACCCTAGAAAAGGCGTTTTTCCGATAATTTGATTTCTATTGGTTACTGCTCAACCAATAGGAGTTCGAGGCAAACGGAGCTCAGATTGGAGTTCTCCGACCCAAAAAAACCTCGAACTGTCATCTCCATGATTGAAAGACAGAGCTCTAGTTGTCGATCAATTAGAGTGTGGACACAAACAGAACCAATTCCCGTTTAGTTACCCTTGCAATAGGTGACTTAGTCTTCTTATTTCTTTATGTTTTATATACCATTTTGTTGCTCGTGAAATTCTCTATCGAATGGTGTATAATAGTGGTGGTAGGAAGTGAACCAAACTTTTTAACCAAAGTGCGTTAGTATCAACGTGTCAACACATTGATACTAGCGCACTTTGGTTAAAAAGTTTGGGTCACTTCCTACGACCTATAATAGTTGGGGTTTTATTTGACTATAATAGGAAAAGATTTTTACGAAAGCGGGGATAGGTCGATTCTCGCATAGGAAGGCGTAGGGAAAAATGATTATTTTTCCAATAACTCAGCAACGGTTCCGCCAATCCTTCTCACCTTCGAACTCGACCGAGATATTGTTGAGACTAAAGTGTGTAGAAAATTTCATCGCAATCTGACTCTCCTTTCAAAAGTTATCGTGTAAACGGCCGGACGGACATACTGACCGATTCTAGAGTGTACTCACTTTTTGAGTACACAAAAATAATGTTCATATTAAACTTCAGAGAGACGACGAAATGCATAATACTTGTGTCGACTAAATATGTTGATTGGTAATTTTGGTTCATTTTGATCTTTAATTTTATTATTTTTAGCACCAATAATTAATAATTCTTGTTTGATTTTTGTATGTATATATGAGATATCATACTGGCGAAGAATTTTTCGGATTGACTTTATTGTAAATCTTGGATAAACTGGACGGGTCATAACATATCGAAATCTTCGTCGTCGAAATATATCATTTCTTTTACGATTTCTTCTTCTTCTTGCTTCAACTGATCTATTTTGATGACATGATTTATACTTCACCGAGTCAGATTGATCATTATTTTTGTCATCATCAACCATAGAATGGTTGTTGACACGTAAATCATTATCACGTGGTGGTAATGCTTTACTTAATTCATTATCATCATTTGAAATTTCTTCATATAACATATCATTATTAATAGTAATTTTAATACATTAATTAACTGTTATTTCATCATCATCATCGGGGATTAATTCAATATCATCATTAATATTCTTAATTATTTGTTATTTAATATTTGTATTTGTTGGGTTGTTATTAGCTCGTGTTGATGATAGTAGTGCCTGAAATGAATCAAGAATATTAATCTTTGTTACCTGTTGAAATGTCCAATATAATGTAACAGGTCGAAGTAAACATGTTGCTGTAAAACAATCATATATAGCGTAATGTATCATTTTATTTCTTTTTAATGCTGATAAGGTTGAGTACATTGGATCTAATTCCGTTGTCCATTCATTAACAGTAATTGACTTGTCAATAAGCATTCCAATTGTATAAATTAAAGCTTGCTGTAATGTCCATGGTTCATTGGGACGATAAGAACTTGATTTATGATAAGTACATTTTGATAATAAATTCATTTGTCCCTCAGAATTAATATCATTCATAATAAAATTACGACGATTTGACAGGCTACACATCTCGCAATAAGATAGTGCCCAGCTATACCAATCAGCAAATTTAAGTTGAAGATTAACCACTGATGTTTTAATTGGCCATTCAAACCATTGATAAACAATAGCTGGATAAATTTCCTTACGTAATGGTCCCCAAGAATATATGTTATTTCTAAATGTAAAAATTAATTCAAATAACTATTTAATTTGTAAATGAATTAATGAATGAATTGGTGGTAAATGTGCAAGTTCTACTTATATAGCAAAAAATGGTAATTGTTGAGGTACTGTTTGAATTTGAATTAATGCTAATTGTTTGGTTGATTTTTCACCTATAGTATAAAATGTAAATTCATTACAATTTCGTACATGATTAATTGATTTTTGGATTGTTTCAGTTGTTGTATATTTGTTTACATATATAATTTCATAAAATGCTGTTGGTATATCAAATGCTGGATATTGTTGTTTATATTAATAATTTTTCTTCGTCTTTTTTTGCAGCACGTATCCAATTCAATTTTTGATTGTTATCAAGATGAGCTGGAGGATTGTTAATATCACGCAAATGATATGGAACAAATTTATCTGACATTATAATGAATAAAGAAAAGAAGATTAAAGAAATTGATATAAAATAAATGAAGAGAAAAAAAGAATAATATAAATAAGGTAAACAAATAAACCATATAATTTATCATTCGTTCCGAGGAATAAACCTATCACGATTGCATACATAGATATCGCTAGTATATTAATAAAATATGTAATATGTGTAAAGCTAAAACATAAATAACTTTGTTTGTTGAAAACAGAAACACTTCTGAAAGAGAAGATTTCCTGTGCGTAATTTGTTTGTATTTGTAATAACCAATATTTGTTAATGCTAACCATATGCAAATGATAATTATATTGATAATTAATGTGCGCTAATTAAAATATCAATATGTTCACAAGCATAACGAGTCGATGTTAGTTCAATTAAGTTGGTGCGGATACAACAAAGATAATCAAACATCGAACCACCATAAACATAACATAACACTAACATTTAATGATCATTAGCAAATAACTAAACAACAATATATCACGTTGATTTTAATATAAGAATAGGTCGAATATCATTAACATGTACTCTGAATTTGACCTGTGTTTTTTGGGGTGGGTGTGGGTGGGTGTGAGTGTGAATGGGTGTGGATGTGTGGGTGTGGATGTGAATGAAGAGAAGACCCATACACCGACATCCACACCCATCCACACCCTTGTCTAATAAAGCGATTAGATAAATATGAATAAAAAGAAAGAAAAACGCTTTATTTTGTTTTATTTTGAGTCATAGTGTGATATTAATACTGTGAAACTCGCAAGCATTTGGTAAACATTTTATTTACAGATTGACTCACCTCTTTTATTCAACTTGAAAAAATACAGCACTTTTTCCATTTGAATGTTTGTCAAATGAATTGATGTTCAATATACTCGACTATTTAAGCAGTCTTGATTCATGATTTGCTTTCTCGCTTGAATAATAATCTACGAAATCATGTGAAACACTTTGATCTCTCATTGTTGCCAATCTCGATTCGATTTCGGTCGTCAATGTATTTTAAATAGTATTCAAAATTCATTTCCTATTAGTCTGTCGTCAAAATCCAGTTAATTATACCGATCGAGTTTTTGATGAATTATAATAGAACAATCTCGATCATTTATTGCAATCATTGACATTGATTAATATAAATGGACAATCAAGAGATATTTTTATTCATTTCGAATATTCGAAATTTGATACTTGAGATACTAGTTTCTTTCTCGAGTCTTCGTAGTCTGTTACGTATGTTGCCGCAAGTGATCTCAGTCGACGTTGTCTTGATGAAAAAACGGAAGAACGATGCTATGAATGTGTCATATATTCGTCACTGTTCACCTAAGGGATATGGGTGAGGGTGTACATCTTCTATTCATCCACAACCACATTCACACCCTTATCCGATAAGGTCCGTTTAACGCCGTGATCAGAACTTTGGTACACCCTAAGTATATATATACATGAATGAACTTGGAAAAAAGAACATGAACCAAGAAGAAAATATCTCACTTATATCAAAACAAAAGAGAATAGATGTAATATACCAACACACCTGAACTAGATCAAGGGAGAGAGAACGATATGGAATGTACAATGAACACAGAAAAGGAAAAAAAGAATATGCAGGGTGTTTCATAAATTGTGATAGCCGACAAAATTAGTTTATCTTCAAGCAGAAAGTAATCTCTAACCGAATATATTTTATATGAACTTTGAGTACTCGTGACAGCCTTTCAAGTGGCATACAATTCAAAGACATCCTCTCTTATAATAATAAAAATACAAACACGAGAATATAATAAATTTTTCGAAATCAATAAACGACAAAGAGTGTTCCATAATAACTGATGATAAATTGTTAATGATATTTTTCATACTTTTTCTTGATATAAGCGGTTGGAATTTTTATCACGTATATAACCAACCAAGCTCTTTGTATTTGTATAACTTACAACTCTCTAGCTATAACTACTGGTGGAATATATCGACAAGATTGAATTATAACAATTTCAGTACTTGATTTTTTAAGTTGTTTTCTAAAAAATAATACAAGAATGGAATACTGAAATTGTTATATATCAATCTTGTCGATGTATTTCATCAGTAGTTATAGCTAGAGAGTTGTAAGTTGTACAAATAAAAAGATCTTGGTTAGTTATATATGTGATACAAATTCCAATCCTCTATATCAAGAAAAAGTATGAAGAATATCATTAATAATTTATCATCAGTTATTATGGAACACCCTTTATCGTTGATCGATTTCGAAAAGTTTATCGTTATATTCTTGTGTTTGTATTTTTATTATAATAAGAGAGGATGTCTTTGAATTGTATGCCATTTGAAAGGCTGTCATGAGTACTCAAAATTCATATAAAGTATATTCGGTTCGAGATTACTTTCTGTTTAAAGATCAACTAACTTTATTGCGTATCAAACCTTATGAAACATCTTATATATATCATCTACGTACAATAGAAGAACGGAAAGGAGAGAAGAAGAAAAGAAAAAACAAATAAAAAGACGAGAGATCATATCTTGCATCCTAACAATCCCGTTAGAGCAGTATTTTTATGAGAACAAGTTCCAAATTGTATGCTTTTATCTTTCACGTCGAAATCTATGCCACATTGAGTCAATTAAATATAGTTCCTGCCAAGGAACATAGTGGAATGATATTACGTCGTCACCGCAGCACTCGTAACTCTTTGAAAAAGAACAATTAGTTCTTGCCGTTAAAAAGCAAAAAGAGAATACTCACAGTTACAGGCTCAAGTGCTGCTCTATCCTTGTACCAATCTGGTACAGGACCGACGAAATGATCATAAAAATTTAGAGGATGAAAACGTTCACGATTTTTCTTGTCACGTGTGTTGCCCATATAAACACCTTCACTACGAAGACATGCTCGAATTTCGATATCTTCATGACCACCATATTTGCGACATGTTGTATTAGGCTTTTGATGACCTTGATTGAAACGTTTTAGTGCTTCTCGACTTAACACATAGGAAGCACCTCCCTGATGATAGTCATAACCCTAGAAAACAGACATTGAGAAAAAACGTGTTTAAATGATCAAACGTGATTCGCATTTGTCCATTCTTACGGTTCATCAGAAAACATGTAAAAATGTTAGAAAAGATCATTTTATCAATGTTATCACATGTTTGTTTTGCGTCCACAAAAAACGACGCATGAAAATGTTGAAAAAATTGTTTTGTAGAGTTTTTACGCTTCAAAAATCAGCTTTCTGTCGGTTTTTTCATGTCAGATAAAATTTGAAAACGGATAAACAGGAATCATGTTTTTTCAAATGTCTGACTTCTAAGGCAGATATGCTTAGCTATATTCAATTTAATCAAAAAACATTGACAAATCATAAAACCCGATGAATTATTTTCATAAAAATGCTGAATTATCAAAATACATACCTTCGAAATCCATCCGAATGTGACCGGTTCAGATGTGTTCTGATTACGCAGAAATGCCTTCAGATTTTCCATAAAAATATAGGTATCATCGTCAGCTTTAACGAACCAATCGAAATTATTGAAGTGATATTCATATGCATATTTCAAAGCTAAAACGGTTTTTTGTGTTAAATGCTCGTAGCCAGGTGTAATATTGGCAATCGATGCTATAGGTAAGCCTTGAGTATTGTTCGATGATTCTGTGATAAAAAATAGACCATCACATCGTCGACCCCAAGTAGAATTCACTGCTCGTGCTCTAGTATCAAAATACTTTGGTGCGGTAAGAACGAAACAAAAGACGCGCACTTGAGTAAGATTGCCTTGAAATCGAAAGGGTATTTCGTGGTTGTAACGAAATCGACGGATTCCTACCATGATACCTAACGTCATACATGTTAAGATTATAAGAATGACTACATTGAAGAACCGCTTCCGCAAAAACGCCATACAACGATCAATAATAAACAGTAGAGTCAATTAGAATTCAACTTTTTCCTGCAAAACAATCATATATGTACTGTGAAAAAGGTGCAGATTAATCGACGCATCTTCATTGTTGATAATTTTGGCAAAATCCTTTTCCAGCTGATTTCTCAAGGTAATCTAGTCTTTCAGAACTCCTGTTCGATTTCCTGTTTTGATAAATTCCTTTCGAGTATAAAAACGGAATAAACTCCCAGGCTAACAGGAAAACATATTTGAGTGTTTCCTTCAGAATGACCTAAAAATAGTCTGTTTTGTAGAGAATTTTGCTCTGATCACGAATAGGCCTACATTACCTGCTCCCATCTACATGTTTACAAAATGGTAGGAATTACTTTTTCACTAGCAAAAATCCTTTTCTACTCATTCTATCGCGCGTTTGTCAATAACGATTGGATTAAAAAATTTGAAAATTTTAGAAAACATGGACGTGCACAAGTAAAGCAGAAATTGATATATAATCAAAAGTCTCAGAAGCTTGTCTCTAACGAAGGAAGGTTTCCAATTAATCCTCGTCGCTTTCGCTGATATTTTGCCCATAAGTAGTGGACGTTATTCTCAAAAAAAGCCTAAGAGGATTTAGGTTGATGCTACTTCTTTCAATAGTTATAAAGATTTTCATTCTCCTATCAAACAAATGACTATGAGTTTTCTGTAGAATTTTCAAAATTTTTGAGTTCAATCGTTATTGAGAAACGCAGAATAGAACAGAGAGAAAAGAGCTTTTTCGGTGAAAGAGTGTTTCATACTATTCTGTAAAGATGGAGATGGAAGCAGTTAAGATAGATCTATTTGTGATCAGCGCAAAATTCTCTACAAGATAGACTACCTTTAGGTCATTCTGAGGGGAACACTCAAATATGTTTCCTTGTTAGAGATGATTAGGTCAATTATAGTACAATTTGCAAAGAAGGCCAATACTGATCCTTACTTTCAAAGCATCCATACTATATACGGTGCTTGTCAAAGCTCGACTCATGCAGCTAATATTTTCATCATATGTGTATCTCATGAAATCCTGATCGCGTAGACAGTCCCATGTCTCTAACATAAGATTTGACCAAGATTTAGGCAATATACTATTTCTCAGTTTGATCTTTGTCGTTTTGCGACACCGCATTGTACTAGCTGGTTTCGACCAACCGTTATGTAGATGAAGGAGTCTACTATCTCCACATATCTTTCATCAAGGGGAAGGTCAAGGGCCATTCCTTTTTCAGAAAGCATAGGCCCTCCATCCAAAAAAGATCCACCTGTGTGCCCAACCAATCCGAATGCAGCTTCCAGTAGTATAGGATAGGAGGACTATATAGCAGCAGTCCGTGGTCACACAGAGGACATGTGGCCAAAGGTTTCCGAGGGCGGTAAGTTTGAATATGGGGGTCCAGTTATCTCGAAACCTAACTGGTTAGCCGAAAGCCAATAGGAATTCAGCTGCCAAGAAACCAACTGATCAAACTTGTGTTTTCGGAAAAGAGTCAAGTTGAGGCTTTCGGAGGCGGTGATTGCCAATTAGGGGCCCAATCATCTCAAAATCTTGTTGGTTAACCTGAAACCAATAGGAATCGAGTTTTTGGGAAAACGAATGTCATTGGATGATCGGAAGAAGGACATTAGGAATCAGAAGTCTATTGAGCTCGATACCCTCCTGGGACATTCGTGGCTCTACTGGATGACCCATGTCACATGCAAATTCAGTTTTGGGAAAATTAATTTCCTGGAAATCGTGTGAGGCGGATGTTTCAAATAAATAGTCTATAAGGCTCAAAATTTGTTCGTCATAGATATCGACTCCTAAGGTTGCTAAAGAATCTACCCACAAAAATCTTTCTATCTGTCAATGGATATTGTGAACACAATGTTCTAGATCAATTAGATGTGTCGTTGTGCTTAGTTTCGATCAAAATGGATTTTTCTTGCAACGCTGTCGAAAAATCAATTGTCCGTATGGGCTTCCCACTAGAAACGCAACTAGACAGCTCCGGAACCGGAAACATGGTCAAGCGCAACCAAGGCCATTTGAGATCGGGAATGATTGAGACAAATATGTGCTCTTATAAATGCTTGACCAAGATAAAAAGTCGAGAGAATTCATTAGTTTCATAGAGCTCTTCGAGATCTAGACATGTAAGGACGAAGAATGCTTCACTTTTGATTAATTTTGCAATATCAATATTTCATATTCGCCGAGAGCGAGAGTACCCGAGATCGGGACTTAAAATACGTTCAACAGCCATAACTAGGAGCGGAACAAAAAATAGGGTTTTATATGTGTCTACTCCCAACTGATTACGTTTTCTGACATGTTCTCGAGCACAACGAGAGTTTTACTTGCGTATATTGAGATTGAACTTTCCTGGACAACGCCGTGTGCTTCCACTAATCAACAATAAAAATTTCGTTTCAAAATATTTACTAAAACCAGAGATAAGAAACGCCAACTTTCTGTCGATGACTTTGGGATGGCCATGATGCATGAAAGAAATGCATGTGACGCAGCTAATTAACAACGGTTTGAGTCCAAATTTTTACTGAATATTTATATATGATCTGTGTTATTACTCTATAAGTTTCAGTTCACTTTCATTGAACTATCTTGAAAATTCAGCCAAAATAGAAACATTTCGATCCTCATCGAGGCACATGGCAACATAGCCATAATTTGGCATGTCCTTTCTATCATAGGTAGAAAGTGTTCAGCTCTTCATTCCTATGTAATAATACCAAATTTTAGTCAACTAGCCGCAGAGATCTGGAGTAACATTTGGCATCCACTTTTGCACCAAATACCTATGAAAATCATTTTCTATGCTAGATACCATAACTACAGATGTTTGCAAAAAAATCTTGTACAACTTCTTCTACAGATATTGTCTTCTATAGAAATGCTTTTCGAATTTTTTTATAGTGTAATGGATAGCCCACGACGAGTGCTACACGATACCATAATTTGATGTTCGATCTGTTCACTGGTAGAAGAAAAATAGGACAAACATCTCTTTTTCTTGGACGCAAGAAAAATATTTATAATCGAAATTTAGATATTTTTGACCTTTTCATCTGAAAAATGTTGATTAAATAGAAGCCCTCTTCAGACGTTTTATATTGGAATTAATGGTAGACTACAAAGGATAATATCGAATAGCATCATAGTCCAATATTTTATTCCTTCACCTTTACAACCAATAAAAAATAAATATCTTTTTTTCATAGACATCACACAATTTTTTACAACATTAATATCAATATTTCTGAACTCTTTGACTAAAAAAACTTCGAGCTCATCAATAGTTACAGATTTTCTTTTTTCCACATTGCGTTTTACTATCAACCATATGTCCTCAATCGGATTTGCATTCGGACTATGAGATGACCAGTCTAATAATTGTGATACATTTTCGATAATTTTTCTTTTATTTCGCTAAGAATTATTTCATTATTACATCGAATGCATTGACCAATAGCTTTTTTTTCTATTCCACCAAGGACACGTGGTCGACCATTTTCATCTCGATGTTTAAGTGAACCTGATCGTTTTAATTTATCAATATTGTAATAGATAGTCGTCAGTGGAATGTTTGCTTCACGATGAATACGATGAGCAGATCGTATGCCCTTGTTCCAAAAATGTAATATTGAAATTTGATGATTTTTTAAATTACTGGTCGGCGACATAATTGAATAAATATGTATCGAAAAGGAAAAAAATTACACTTCTATATATACAACGTGTAGCGTGTCTGTCGAGGGTTTAGTCCTCAAAAAAATGACTTTTGTAGTTACTTATAATAGTAGGAGAAAAGATTTTTGAAAAAAAGTCCTTGTACAAATTTTTTTGGAAACACTTGTACCACAAAACAAACAAGAGTGAAGTCGATTTTCACCAAGTACGAGAAAGAGGCCACACCATTGTTAACCGAGCAAAACGAATAAAGCTCTTGGTGGAAAATGATCGAGATAGATATAACAGACTTTCGGAAAATGATTTTCAAAGGTACTTGGTGCAAAAATGGATGTCAAATGTTACTCCAGATCTCTGCAGCTAATTGACAAAAAGGACGAGGGCGGATAAGGCCATTTTTTTTGTCTCCAACAAATTTGGATTTTTTATCGATTTGAAGTAAG